TATGGTTTCCTTGCATGCTTCAGCAAGCAGTAATCCATGGATGACCTTGTCTGGTGTACAGGGCATAGAGAAGACTGTGAAGGACAGGAGAAAGAGCAGCTATCAGCAGGAGTCATATAAGCAGGACTTAAACCCAGGCCAAGAGACTAACTTGCCTAAATGTCTAAGAAAAACTCCTCCCTATTCACACGAATATAAAGTGAGGGAATGGGAAGCACATTCAGACTTGAAGACTCTAACACTATAGCCATTACAGTGGTACCTTGGTATTCAACTGCTTTGAATTCGACACTCAACACATTTTGACGCAAGCATTTTGTTTTGGTACTCATCATTTGTTTGGTATTCAGTATACAAACTAGAACAATCACTTAAATATGAGCCAGCAGTGTGCTGCAGCTGCCCAAAAAACCAACACAGTGCTAGGCTGCATTAACAGAAGGACAGAATCAAGATCACGTGAAGTGTTAATACCACTTTACAACACCTTAATAAGGCCACACTTGGAATACGGCTTCCAGTTTTGGTCACCACAATGTAAAAAAGATGTTGAGACTTGGAAAGAGTGCAGTGAAGGGCAACAAAGATGATCAGGGGACTGGAGGGTAAAATATATAAGGAACGGTTGCTGGAATTGGGTATGCCTAGTTTAATGAAGAGAAGGACGAGGGGGGGACATGATAGCAGTGTTCCAATATCTCAGGGGCTGCCCAAAGAAGAGGGAGTCAAGCTATTCCCAAAGCATCTGAGGGCAGGACAAGAGGCAATGGGTGGAAACTAATCAAGGAGAGAAGCAACCTAGAATTAAGGAGAAATTTCCTGACAGTTAGAACAATTAATCAGTGGAACAACCTGTCTCTAGAAGCTGTGAATGCTCCAACACTGGAAGTTTTTAAGAAGAGACTGGGCAGCTATTTGTCTGAAATGGTATAGGGTTTCCTGCCTGAGCAGGGGTTGGACTAGATGACCTCCAAGGTCCCTTCTAACTTTATTATTATTATTATTATTATTATTATTATTATTATTATTATTATTGCAGCATCCTGACTGAATTTGAATAATTATTATTAACTTGTCAATGTTGGCTGCCTTGTGGCTCACTACACTATTCCTTATGGGAAAAATGTGTTTGGTACTCATCGTTTTTGGTACTCATCATGCCTCTTGGAAGCAATTTATGATAGGTATCAAGGTACCACTGGTCTACCAAGCAGGGCTGACATCTTGACTGGATGCACTGAAGCAGGCATGACAAACTCGCAACGTCACATGACATCGCGCAACGTATCGGGCCGGTTTTGCCATTGCCGGCATTGGGGTGAGTGCAGCTTCTACATGATGCGTCCAGTCCACGGGCCGGCAGTTTGACACCTCTGCACTGAAGGGTCAGGCCAGGTTAGTATTTTGAAAGAAGGTGTTCAAGAAATCTAATAGTTCTAGGCTAGGCTGAAAAATGTCTTGCAAGACAAAGAGTAGCAAATCACTTGTATTCGGTAGCCAAGAAAATGTTACCAAGATGTCTAAAAAGGTGCCAGGAGCCGAAATGACTCAACGGAAACTTTAATTTTCACCTTTGTTGCATATCTATCACAATTCTTCTATTGCATCGTGAACTAATTACTCCCCAGTATTACCTACTAAGCGACTTTTCAGTATGTGTTTTGCTTCCAGCCATGCTTCCAAAAATAGCCTAGATTGTAGACAACAATAATCGTCTGACAGGAAATCCTACTGATTAAAGTTCAATCAATTATTAGGATAATAGAAGCATTACAATTAATTCCACCAAAGAACATAAACAGTAGGAGGTGGGTAGAAAGAATTACTCATGACATTAATTTTTCGGTTTCACCACTAGAAAGGAGCGGCAGTTAGACAGGGAAATCACTTGTATAATCATGGTAGCCAGTATCTACATTTCCCCTCCCTGTGTACACAGAGGTGGGGTGGCATTAGAAGACTTTTATAAAAAACTAGACGACCCATGCCCCGTTGGTTCAATGTTTCAGAAGTATTTCCTTATCTAAACAGAAAAAACAAAATGACTATAAGTGGACAAAAAAGCATTGGAAATAAAAGTGACTTCCAACTACCTATCAGGTTTCCCACTGAGTTTTCTTGTGAGAAGCTGGCAAGGAGCATCAAAAATCTTCCTTCCTTCCTTCCTTCCTTCCTTCCTTCCTTCCTTCCTTCCTTCCTTCCTTCCTTCCTTCCTTCCTTCCTTCCTTCCTTCCTTCCTTCCTTCCTTCCTTCCTTCCTCCTCTCCCTCCCTCCCTCCCTCCCTCCCTTCCTTTCTCACATTTTAGCACAATAGTACTCAGAAAAGACAAGGTGGCAACATGATAGAAGCTTTGCCTATTTTGTAAGTCCATCATCTGCATGTCTTTTTCATGTGTGACACAGATACAAATGGGCAGAGCGTGTTCTGTACCCCATTTGGTCTGTGTGTAGAGAGTAGGAAAAGAGATGAGTTTGATGGAAGTATGGAAGAACTGCTATCTAATCAAAGGCATCTGAAACTTATTTTAAATCCTGAGAAATGAGGCAATATTTAGAAGCATCAGATACAGATGCTTGATTCACCAGAGTATAAGGGGTACGTGGTGGGTGGGAGGTATAGCACAAACAGACTTAAAAGATTCTGCTATTATGGCCAATATCTATAAAAGTAGTTTTAACCTTCCTATGAAGTTGATTTCTTGGCCTGGGGCTGACACCTTGCATATAGCATATAGCAGTGACAACAAAACAAAGCTTCAGTGCCAGAAAGAGCACTTTCCTTTATCTTAAACAATAAAAGATGCTCAATAAACCCACAAAGAGATAATCAAAATAAATTTTCAAGCCTACTTAACATAAGAAACAAAAACAAAAGTTTCTTTTGCAGGGAATAAAAATAGAGCATCAACAGAAACTTAATAATAAATGCTTGGTTGGTGGCACAGCACCTCTGCATCAAACACAATACTGTACATTTTTTCTCTCTTGGATTACTTAATCCTGCTTTAAATCCATGTAATCATAGGTCATTATTCATCACTACGAATACTTTACGTCTGTTTTACAGGCCATTATTGACTGCCAATAAGAATTCTGGATGCAGTTCAAAGAGCTAGTTTTGATTTAAAAAATTCTATATGATTAATCCATATTTGTGATTCAGTGAGATGCTAAGAAAAACTCTCAGAATATCTGTTTTCTCTGTTAGAATTTACAAACAATTTTACATATATATTGAAAACAGTTCTATTTCTTCAACTGAAGATAAAAATAAAAGAACATTTTTCTGGTTTCCACAGTTAGGGGAAGAAAAAACAACTGAGTGGATTGGCTGATCCATACAGAACAGACATAATCAATGTAAACATTCATCAAGTTCCCCATGTCATCTTTAATATTTTCAATCAATCCTGCTTCCAAGATGATAAAATTCCTTGTTGTTTAACAGCCTAATACAGAATTTGCTGGCATAGTGAGGATGACTTCTTTGTGTGAAATGCTGTACTCAAATTGGAATGAGCCACAGAAGAAATAAATGGAATCTGCAAGAAAAGAAATTAATTAGAAGCTGTAGTCCTAAAGATGATTGGCATCTTCTTCTTGAATGTTTCTAGAATTTGCAGATGTTACATCCATCAAAACTGAAAGGGTCTGTAAGGAAGAGAATAAACTAAGACAGAAATGATTACAGATAGTCCTTGACTTATAAACAGTCACTTAGCAATGGACAAAAAGCTACTTATTACCTGGTATCAAAGTCCATCTCATCCTGCCCATGTGACTGCATTTTGTGTGCTCAGCAACCGACCCATAGTTATGGCCATCTGCAATCACATATTTTATGTCCGCTTTGTTGGAAACCAGAGTTTACTTTCAGTTTCTGGCAAAAACTACTTCACAGCAAACAATGGGTTAACGATCGTGGCATTCACTTAACGACTGCCACAAAACGGTCATACAACTATCATAACTTATTATTATAATTGCAGGGCTCAATTAGGGTAGTAACTCAAGTTTACTTTTATCATGGGAGCTACCAACACATCTGTTAAACCAGTAGGTTTCCTCACATATATTAATTTTCAAATTTGAAAAATATTTCAGTGTAATATTGGAAAGTTAGCAAACCACAAAGCAAAGCACAGGCCTTCAGCATAATTGGCATACCACAAAGCAAGGCACTGGCCTCTGGTATAATTTTTTATCTCTAAAAATGCCTCAGAAATGGATGTTAATCAATTTTCTTAGAAATTGAAGACAATTGGGGGTGGGTTATCCACTTGTTCAAAACAACAACAGCAATAGCAGTAGTAAAACTGGCATATGGTAACATTGTGGAAATTCAGTGTATTGAAACTGGTCATATCCCCATAGTAGACATTTTATCAGTCAAGAAACTCTCCATACTATCCTTCCAAAACCCTATTGTAACTCATTGACAGTAAGATTATCAGTATTCTGCAAAAAAAAAAACTATTCAGCTACTTTATGACATCAGACATGTTTCCTATATCTTTATAACTAGTGGTCATCAGGAATACTATTTGCCAAATGCGATTACCGTAGTCCTCATATCTCAAAATGGCACACGTGCTGCCCAATACAAAAAACATTGGTGACCATTTTGCCAAGGAATAACCCACATGATTGGATGAATGCTAGAAAAGCAAAAATGGTTGGTAATAACAACTAGAGAGGAAGGCCTTTCTTTTTAAGAAATTCTTTTGAGAGAATCCAAAGGGTGCATTTTTTTCTCTATGACAAACTTCAGTTCAAGTGTATCAGTGAAAGAGAGGATGGGAGAGAAGGAAGGAAGGAAGGAAGGAAGGAAGGAAGGAAGGAAGGAAGGAAGGAAGGAAGGAAGGAAGGAAGGAAGGAAAGAAGGATTAAGCTGGATGTTTAACGAATATGGCTGAGAAATTCTGTATTGAAAACATTTTTGTGACTTTTTAAATAACATTGGTAACAATATGGCATCCACATCAAATAAAACTTCCATTTCACACAATAAGATAACAATGGAAATGTTTACCATTCTGCTGATATGCCGCATCCACCTTATGTATAATTCCATGAAATTCCTCCATTATTTTTTTGGGATAGCCGTGGTCCATAGAATGAAATCTCTCATCATAGCTGTAGCCCAAAATGAATAATAATAAGAAACTAGCAGGAAACTCAGAATGGGAGAAAGCTGAAGCTAAGATTTATAGTATCTAATCAGACCATCTTACTGTGCCAAGTCTTTTTTCATAGTCTTTCAATATTTTCCAATTATCTTTATACAATATGCAAACAGCATTCACTTTAGTGGGATCAAAGTCTTGCCTTCAGTATTGATAGAGGAAAGATATATGAACTATTTATTGATGTTGCTTTTTTAATTGTTAGCCCCCTCCCCGAATTATATATCAGAAATGGGAAGCCATATAGATTTAATAAACAAACAAACAAACAAATATATTTCTTACGTGGAATAATTCTGTGTATGTTCTAACTCTGCAATCGAATCCATAAGCCACATTTTACAGCCCTTTATTTCATTAAACTCTCTTGTGCTTAGTGTGCAAATCTTATAACCTCACTTCTTACTCATTGTTCAGTCTGCCCCAAAACTAATGTTATTTACATTTGTTTGCAGACTCCCTCATGAAATTTCCAGGAATATAGAAAAAGGGTTTTTTATTGCTTTTAGGAAGGCTTTGTGGTTCATTCTCAAGCTGTTTAAGGGTGCTAATTTGTTTCTTGATTTACATGGGTTATGGGCTGCTCCAATTAGCTGGCTGATTGTATAACTCCCTTGTGTATAACTGGGAGTGAAAACAATGCAAATCAAATTTAAAATCCAAATCATCCATGAAAATAGCATAAAAGTGTGAGAGATACACAGAAGAATAGTTAATTCATCCTCATGACTTGGTGAAACACCCATACTTTTATTAATTTCTTGAAGGCCAGAAGGCAAGAGACCGATCAAACGTTGGGAGGAACAAATGCAGTTCTACAGGAGGGGATGGCAACTGAGAAATTCTGCATCTGTGGTCCCTGAGTGGGGCATATGAGGAGTCCATTTTACTGGGAATTATTAAGTGAGCAGAAGTTTCAACCCACCCAGAGTTACCCTGTTACTCAATACATTTGATAAATAAATAAATAAATAAAACTATTCATTTATTGACTGTTTGAAATTGCAATGGCACTGAAAAAAACTGAATTACACTTTGCAATAATGACTGTTGCAACGTCCCCAAGGTCAGGAGTGTCAAACTGGCAGCCCATGGGCTGGATGCATCATGTGCAGGCCACACCCACCCCGGCTCCACAAAGGCAAAAAACGTTGCAATACATCATGATACGTCACGATACGTCACGTGACACGGTTGAGTTTGATACCCATGCCCAAGATCATGTGATCAAAATATGGCCGCTTGGTAACCAGCAGCCATATTTATGATGCTTGCTGCATTCTAGGATCATGTGATCACCACTGGTGACTTTCCCAGCTGGTTTTCAACAAGCAAAGTCAAAGGGAAAACCCAGATTGGATTAACAACCGCATTGAATCACTTAACTATAGTGATTTGCTTAACAATCATTGCAAAAAAAAAAAAAGTTTATAAACCTGAGCATGATTTACTTAACTTTGCTTAGCAATGGAAATTCTGTTTTCAGTTGTAGGTACATAAGGCAAAAACTACCTATATCTTCAGGATTTGGACTATGTGGTGCTTCAAACGTGACAAGAAGCACCTTGAATTGCATTTTGGTCCCAACTGGCAACCAATGCAGCTCCCAGAGTAAAGATGTTAAATAGGTGCCACAAGGTACCTCCATAACTACTTGAGCCACTGAGTTCTGGATCAATTGTGTTTCAAAGTCAATCAAGGGCAATCAAAGCTGTGATCAGTTTTGAGTATCACTACTAAAGCAAAATATTTAGAATTATGTCTTTGAAATAGGGTTGCCAGGCTCTTAAGTTGAACTCCATGGATGGACTTGTGGGAATATGGAAGAGAAATGTGAGTATATAATATGTATGTGCATATAGATCCAGTACTGAAAAATTCTATATTCTAATTAAGATGAATTTGTCATCAGAGATTTCTTTTAGTTACATATACATATATCTAATATTGTAAGTCAAACTAATAGAGAGCTATGTAATGGCTCTTTCAACTCTATCTTTCAGTAAATCATACCATGACACATTTGACAATTGAGAATGAGTGATCTGAATTGACATCAGTTTGAGTAAAGGCTTGGCGATATGACTATGAATAAGTAATATAGGCAGACTGTGGAAAATATTGGCTTAGCCTCCCCAAAAGGGTTTTTCACTTGATTATACAGAGTATAAGAGTCGTATCTTTGCTGGTATGTAGTTGATGAAAACTTGGGGGAAAATATTTTAATATCATTAGAGAAGGACCAAGCAATCAGCAACAGATCCTGCATAAGTCACACAGCTTCTGCTGGTCTATGCAATGATCAGTGGTATTGGGATCATTCAACAAGGTTTAGACTGCCATGGCTTATCTGTCACCCAACTACATCATGGAACAGTATTCATATCTTTTTGATAGGAAAAGAAACCTGGGTGAAGATTTTAAAACAGACCATCTTGATGTAAAATGCAGAAAGGAGAAAAAAACGTAACCAACAGAATAGATCATTTTGCATTGCAAAAGATCTAGGGAGAGATCTGAACTCCATATTAACCACAGCATCATGAGTAATATGTAACAGTGTAAATACATTATGCCATCAGGATAGAGAAACTGTATTTTGTGGGTTTCAAGACTGTTTTTCAAAGTGTTTCTGGAAAATGTTTATTTAGTTTTATTATAGTGTGGACGTAAGAGTGGTTCAGCTAAACCACTTGCTCAACCACTTATTACCTACCTCCATAACTGGTCTCTAGTGAAAAATTTTGTCTTCCTGGACTTTACATCATAAAAAGCAGCATCTATCCTCTGTACATAGCTTGGGAATCCAAGATCATATAGTTTCTGGGGATAACCACTGAGTATCTTGTAGTCCTTCAGAGCCCAATACATCTTCCCTGTTACCGTTTGTGGAAGCAAATGATACATTGACATGATAATTAATGCTAAAGCTAAAATAGACGGGGATCTGCTTCATAGTATAGCAATAAGTAATATAATTATATTAAAAAGTTGGTTCTTATCTTTAATGTTTTAAATACCTTGGGGTCAGATGATCCAAGGGACCATCTCTCCCTGAACAAACCATTCTGCTGTTAAGATCTTAGCAGAGGCCCTTTTAAAGATGCTTCCATTGTCAGGTACATCTTCCAAGCAAGTGGAAGAAGATCTGCAATGCTCCTATACTGTGAAGTGCACTCCTTTCACAATTGTGTTTGGTTTCACTCTTTCATATGAAAAATGCATGAACTCTTGTGCCAGGCTCTCAACTGATAAATGATTTAGTACTTTTGATTGTACTTCATTTTAATTTATATTTAAAATTAGTATACCAAACCTGCTTTTGCTTTTTTAAATTTTTGACTTGAGTATTTGCCAGAAAGGAAAATTGGAGTATGGATTAACAATGCATCAAGCTGCAAACTTATTTTGTCAGGGTCTTGTAATGTAGTGATTCTTCCAATTGACACTCATAAACCTCTATTCTTCCTATATATGAGGGATAGAAATCCTATACTACATGAACCCATTTTTGTAATCTCCCTCAATCTTGCACTTCAAAAATATTTGTGCACAGTAGTAACTGTCTTGTACCATGAGGTTCTTAGCTGGTGTCTTTTGCAAGATATGATGCAAATAATTATATGTTTTCCCCTAAAGATAGCATATATATTAATTGTGTAGGATAGTATACATATTAATGAGATAATATTTCTACCTAAGGGTTGAACTATGGAATCCTCCATGCTTGTTAGTTTTTCTGCAGATGTTTCATTATCCAAGTAGGTAATGTCTTCAGCACTGAAGATGTTACCTAGTTGGGTACTAAAACATCTGCAAGGAAACAAACAAGTGCAGAGAGCACCAAGATTCCATAATATGAACATTAACCAATAACAATAATTCTAGATCTTTAGAAAGTTATTATTTGAACAAAATAAGTAAGAACAACATTGTGTACGTTGGTCCTTCTTAGTAAAAAACTGATGAAAGAAAGCAAGCAAGGATGCAGGGCAAAACAATATTCACCTCGAAATATGAAGAAAAGGTCCTTCTCTGGAGAATAATAAGCTGCATCAACTTGGAAGTTTGGAAGTTCTGGCCAAACAGAACCAATAACCATCCAACCTTCATGAATCACCTGATAATTATGATGCCACACAAATCTAAGTAAGAGAAAAAAGCAGAAAAATTGTGGCATAGTATTAGGTGCATTCCCAAATCACCAACAGAAATCAAAGTCTGCACTTGGACATTATTCTGAACAATAATGCAAATCTGTTGTACGACAGATGTAGAGAATATAGAGAAGTGATGATGAACCTTTTAGAGACTGAGTGCCCAAACTGCAATCCGAAACCCACTTATGTATCGCTGGGTACCGGGTGGATGTGGCCCGCTGGGTGGCCATGGCCAGCTGGGTGTGGCTACGGTGGTCATGGCAGATGGGTGGGCGTGGCCAGAGTGGGCGTGGCCAGCTCAATGTTGCTCCTGGGGAGGGATGCCTGTGGGGGCTGGGCAGGGTTGGGGGAGATTCAGGGGGTCTCTGGCAGATGGGGTGGTGGGCAGGAGGCTCGTCCTGTGGGCTGAGGCGAGGCAAGGTGAGGCAGGGAAGGAGTGCCTAGGCAAGGCAGGGGCCGGGGCGGCTGCTGCCTGACACCATCAGCCCCCGCACACAGAGGCCAGCGAGTGCATGGGTGCTGGGATGCATCAGACCTCAGCGAGTTAGCAGAAGGCTGGTTGAAGAGGGTGGTTGCCATCTCCAGGGCATGGCGCGCGTACCCACAGAGAGGGCTCTGGGTGCCGCCTCTGGCACGCGTGCCATAGGTATGCCACCACTGATATAGAGGATAGCCTTGAGAGGAGAGAGGAAGAAAGGAAAAATATATTACCAGAAGAGCAAAAAGGGAAACATTGCTTAAGTCCCAATGATGAAGGAGGATTTGAAAAACATCTCATATAGACATCCATCTAATTTGCATGAATATAAAAGAGAGAGGAGGGGAACCACAATCACACTTACATGAGTATGTTATTGCAGCCAATCTAAACTTTTAAACTAAAAGTAGTTTTTAGTTTCCTGTAGAGTCTATTTTTTGGTTGGCCTGTTTCATAAAGCTGAACTAAATATATTTCCATCTTCTATGGTCCACTACTGAGACTGCTAACACACTACACTGTGCCTCTTATCTTTGCTTGATCCAGTTGCTTCCTTTGGTATGAAATACTATTTATTTATTTGCTCAAATATCTTCATCTATATTAAACCTTGTAAACAGTTGAAATATAAATGGATACTAATGATCATATGTGTAAATGCGATAGGCTTGAGGAAAGATGTGGAGGTGACAATAGAGATTTAGCAGTAAAATCATTTAATTAATTTAAAATTCATTTCCCAATTTCTTTTTAAAAATTAACTGTCCCGGCCCCTCCTTGCAGTTGAACCCCCGCAGGGCTAATTATAGCCAGTGTCCCAATACAAAAGCAAGCTAAACCCTTGCGTCACTTGAGGTGAAAGAACCAAGTCAAGTCTTAGCCTTGCATGCTCTGTCTACAGTATGTATTTCATTAACTATCTACAGTAAGAGAGGAAAAAGTTTTATTCCATTAAAAGTACAATCTCAGATAGGCTTAATGTTAATTATAGATTGTTTATGCAAGCCTACAACATTGTCATAGTAGATTATTGGCTTGTTTTGAAAATACCAAAGTTAGCATTAACTCCAATTTGACACTCAAGCCATGTTAAGAGAAAGGAAAAAAAAAGGATGTTTAACTTTCTTAGATGTCACTGTACTTAAGGACAGAGAGGGGATAATATAGGAGAGCCAAAAATTTACAAAGTATTACTGAAGTTATCATTGTGTCCCTTATTATTTAATGATGATTAGTTATTTATAATCCTAATGACTGTGTTCAGAAGAATAGCTAGATACTTTGACCATCATCTTACATGTCCTTGAATATGATTTTATCGCCATGTATATCTGCAACAGCGTCTGCAGAGAATTTGGGGTCACACCTCTGTGGAGTTTTAGGACTGATTGCCCTCTTTTTTGGACCTGCAAATATTAAGAATCTTTCATGATATCCTTTGCCTTGAATGTACAGTATTTAGAATTCATTTCACAGTACTTGTATAATGTATAATGCCCATCATTCTACCAACCTACCATCTGCCAATAATTAACTGCCAGAAGTGGGCAGAGTAAGGCCACTCAAAGAGTAGCTCAGCAAACCACCACAATAAATAGCACTTCTATATATGTATTATATGTACATTAGTTGGTTGCCTCAATTGGTGCAACCATGCTGATGTTTGGAACATGTAGACTGTTTCATTTTGTCATAGCACATAACAAAAGGTGCTTTTGGAAGGGAAGCTTCATTATGGCAAATCACTCCTTTGAATTTATACACTCTTCTTCATTATCCATTTTAGAATGAATAAACATATAAGTACCATAAAGAGCTTGGATGCCTTCTACATCATCTTCAGGAAGAACAAAGTCTTTCAGGCCACGGTAAGTGTAAAGAGGGTACATCAAAGCTTCAGGGTCACTGGAGTGTTGCAGCCCCAGTGTGTGGCCAAACTCATGGGCTGCAACCACAAATAAATTAAAATCTGGAAAGAGTACAAAACCATCAAGTTAGCAATAGTGCATCAGAATGCCCTCTGGGATCTGAACATATTATAGAGTAGTATATTTTAACCACACACAAACAGTTCTAAAAACAAGGTTATCTCTCACATCATTATTTTTATGTTTGAGTAAACTTCACATTCAAGTGTCTATGGAGATTCTCAGTCAAGGTTACCCAACCATTTACTTGCCTTCATAATTTAAGGTGAATGGAGAATCTCTTAAAGGAGAGAACTTTAAGAGGACTAAGTTCATTTCTTTGCTCAAAACTTGTATATAAAAGTAGATGCATTTGGAAGAAGGCCTAGAAGTGTATATTTTACAGAAAATAGCATACAAAAGTTGTAGCATTTAATTTTCAAGACAGTATAATGATTAGAGAAAATAGACATGATCAGAGTATCATATTAACTTAATTAATTGATAGAATGGATTTATATAGGCAAGATAGTACTTCTGGAGACCTAGATATAAATCTACAGTTACCTCTAGAATCACTAGTCCATATTTCATCATCATCAAAGTGGACATCCCCTCCAATATTGTCACCAGGAGGGAAAGCATGAGCTAGTTCACCCAATGGTCCATCAAAAGGAACAAAGTCTCCATGCTCTACAAAATAAACAACCCAAAATAACTGCTAATTAATTAGGCATCTAAGTGGTATCGCAAATTTTAGAATAAACATGACAACAATAGCTTACAGTTTTGCCCTCACATCACCTTTGGATCCAAAAGAGATCATAATATCAGCAGTGCCGTTAAAGATCCTAGTGAAATGAAGAGGGGTGACATCACTCCATACTTGAAAAGCTTCATGCATTGCTTGGTCCACTTCTTCCCAGCTCAGATCCAGGGTATAGTTCACAATTCTGTTCATATTGCAAATGCCAATCATCATTTATATACAAGTTTTCCTCTGAATACTCAAGATGGCTTACATGCAGAGGCTTACATGTTATTTCCATAACAATCCTGTAAAATAGCCTGGGCTATGAATTTTTGGCACAGTGTAACTCAGTGTTACTTTGAGAGAACTCTAACTTGATTCTCCTTGATTCAAGTACAACATCTTAGCTATTATATTATACCATAACCTACAAACATTTTCCTTTATGTGTATGTGAGCAGATGTATGGCAGAATGTTGATAATGATCAGAAATATATTTGGAACATTTGGTTTTTATTCATTTTCTGTAATATTTTTTTCTTGAAAAAATTAATCTCACCATGTTAATCCAAATCAAAATAGGACTAATTTAATTGTACAAGACAGATAAATACACTGTATAGATTGGTTTATCTTTGTTTCTACTTCTGAACAAAGAAAATACATACACACAAATACACAACATGGGGAAATTGACCATTATAAGTGGTTGGGGCCTTTGAACTGCATTAGCTCAAAAGAAAAAAGCATCAGGCAAATATCGGTATAATATTGGAGTAATAATAAAATTATGTTTAAAACATTTTGGCTTCGTGCTGTATGAGACTGTTCTTCTCAAAACACATCCATAACTCTGGGTGTGTCTTGATGAGAACGATTTAGGCTAAAACCACTCCACACAAATTTTGATTTTGGTTAAGAACATAACTATAAATGGTTATCATTTTGTCATTTCAGCCTCATGATTTTTTTAAATTCAATTAAAAATTTCTGAATGTCAGCAAACAAACAAACAAACAAAAAAAAAGGAAAAGAAACCCCACTCATATGAACCACAGGAACAATATTTTCCAAAAGTGTCTAGTACAATTACAACAAAGTTAAATATATTCATTTTACCTGTATGTTAAATCCAACACTGGCCACTTAATTTTCCTGGGGAAAAAACGATACCCTGCCATATCAGGCACGCCACACCGAGGCTGTTTCATTAGTTCAAAGGTTTCTGAGGTCATTTGTCCATTTCCTTCCAGGTTAAAAAAAGACTGCATGTATTCCAGCTTGTTAAGCAAAGATGCTGAGCTTCTTTTCCAAACTGTTCCCTGACTATAGTAAGCATCCAGATAGCTCTAGAAAAAAAAGGGGAAAAACATTTGAAAAAGATCAGAAAGGTAGGACACTAAAAACAGTGTAGAGAAAGCAAGCAGATACCTCTGTTAAGAAGTTGCTTATTGTCTCAGGCCTAGGACCTACTTTAATTTTGGGGGGAAGTGGGAAAGGTAAACTGACAGTAAGAATCCAGACGAAGAAAACAGAGGCAATAAAGACATTCATCTTCACACAACTACTGAAGTACATGGGTTTAAAAAATACTTCAGGTTGGGATAACTTTTTATAGAACACACATCTAGGAATTTGACTTGTCACTCATTTATCTACAGTGCAACCTTCCTATTCTAGGTCAAAAGTCTGCATATCACTTTGTTTAACAAAAACTCCATGCCTGTGGTTAAGAGATTAAATGAATTGTTCAGCAGCAATTGACACTAAAAATAACAGGTTGTTTTGTGCCCTTTTGTAAGGGAAATAATTTGCTGAAGGTGCAAATATGCCTATTTTGTTAATAGGATGTCTTCATTGAACAATAGGATGCACACTGAAATAAGTTCCATGCACTGTAAAAATCATCTTCTGATACTTTGGAAAGCCGTTCCTTGCCTTCTTTCCAAATTCCAGCAATTCTTTTCATCTCCTTCTCCCTCTCTTCTAATATAATTTTTGGGGGACTTTTGTTTACTTTATTTGTTTATTTTTTTAAAGAGAGAAATCCACCAAAATCAATAATTCGTAAATGGTAGTGTTGAAGGAAAAGTCTTCATCATGGTTCAGTCCAAGCTGGGGATAAACAACATGGTGACTGCTTTAGAAAGAAGATTGCAGTTTATTGAAGAGGAGAACCAGACAGAAAGATGGCTTTGGAAGAAGAGAGAGATAGCACATGTAGGGAGTGGGTTTTTATACCCTCTGGAGCCTTTTGTTTGGAGTTGTTTCCTGTCCTGTTTGAGGCTTTGTATTTCCTGTGTCATGTATTCTGACCTGAGTCTGGGTGTGCCCTTTGGCATCTGTGAGTTAATCCTATTATGTCCTGTCTTAGACTTTGGGTGGGGTATATAGATTTTAGGTTTATTTGTCTTCTTAATCTTCTAGCTGGGGGCTTCCAACCTTTCTGGATCACCTACATCTGTATTTGTATAGAGCTGGTCTCTGCCTGGGGGAGGGAGACTTGGGGCTATTAAGAAAGCTGGGCATGCTTTTCTGCCTCTTTAAGATCCTTTGAGGAATATATTTTTCTGCCCTTTTAATATTTCCTTCTCTGGGGGGGGCTGACTTCCCACAGTAGTATGCTAAATAATTATTGCTAATATATTTATTTTATTAGCATTGTGCAGTGAATTAAACATATAGATCCATCAGCTAATTTCAAATACTGAGCTATATTTTGGCTTGAGCTATCCCTACATGCGCAATTTGGATCAACTGCTCCTCTTCAAAATCCATGTCTTGAGAAGACATTCCACATTCTCCTACTCTCATTAATTTGCCCATATCCTCATAAGTACTGAGTTCCTTGAAGATCAACATACATTGCCTTGAATGATCACTAACATGGATTATGTCAAAGTGCCATTGAAATGAGAGTAGCAAGAAACCCAAGCATGCTAGGCTAGATTGGGAAGTCAAGAGGATCTTAGAAAATCATCCTGGCAAACCATGTCAAATGTGTCAAACAAACAAGTCCTATGTGGATGTTTCGCTGATATTACCTGCATCTGGCTCAAAGGAAATCTCACTTTAGAGAAAAACAGCAGATTTAGGAAAGAATTCTGGGAAAATCAAGGCCTAGATACACAAAGAAAATGGTATCCTTATGCTATAAAGTGAAAACATTTTTTAAACTTGCTAAGGCACTTCAGCACGAGGTGATCTTACATATCTTATATTGCAGTATTTTTCCCATCAATATTTTATACTGTAGCTTTTCTCCTGCTTTTTATTTCAAAGTTTAATTGTGTAACCTTTTTCTTAGCATTCTGAAGGGTACACTGAAATCTTTCTAAAATGGCAATCCAAAGAAAACCATTTATGTATAAAATTAAATGTTCTATACCAGATACAAAGTGTTATGTCCCGAGCCTTGCAAACGGGCTCGGGGCATTTGCAGGCAGTCCCGGGCAGGTGCAAGCTGCCCGGGACCAGACAGGCTGTCGCCAGCGCCTGTGCGCATGCGCGGGTGCTGGCGCGGGAAAAGTAACACATTGACCCGGGAATTGCCTATATAAGAGGCTGGGAGCTTTTGGGCGTTGCTGAAGCCTTCACCTGTAAGCTGAACACAGAATAAAAGAAAACCTGAGAACTACAACTGCTTCTCGTGTCTGCTTTTCGCCAAGGACTCAACACTGGCGACGAAGGTGGGATCGCCTTACATCGCCTGGAAAGGAAGAGTGTAAGCTTACCCAAGTGAGTCCTGAGCGGCAGAACGGCATTGACTCGGCAGCTACCCGCCAATCCAGTGCGCATTCGGGGGTAGGCTAGCTGATAGACCCGTCTCCTGAAGATGGCAAAGATTGGAAGGCTTTAGGAGTTCGACGTCTCACATCCAGAGCGGTGGGAGTCCTACGTAGCCAGGGTGGAAAACTACCTCAAGGTGAACCAAGTGAGGGAAGATAGCTTGAAGGCTGCCACCCTGCTTTGTGTCTGCAGACAAGACACCTTCAAAATTGCAGAGAACCTTGCAGCACCTGTCCCATTAGAGTCTGTCAGCTACGCAGATCTAAAGAAGCTACTGAAGGAGCACTTCCAGCCCAAGATGTCCGTCATCGCATGGCGCCACACCTTCGAACAAAGGGATCAACGATCCGGAGAGTCGGCCAGAGAGTACATCGCCACATTGAGGAAGACCACCAAGCACTGCGAGTTCAAGGACCTCGAAGAACGACTGAGGGACCGATTCGTGTGCGGCTTAAGGCATCGAGATCTACAACAGAGGCTTTTCGCCAAAGAAGACTTGTCCTTCCAAGATGCCTTAAGAGAGGTCACCGCAGAAGAAGCAGCAGACGGCGCTGTCAAGAACATGAGGCCGATCAGGAACAGTCCAGATGTTGCATCCGTGCACCAAGGGGACATCAAAGGGAACTCCGAGGAGGATCCGGATGAGGAAGTCGACCGTCTCCACCCCACGAAGGAAGGGAATCAGAAAGGAAGCTCTGCAGCTCCCCTCAAGTGCATCGGCTGTGGAGGTCGCCACAGGAGAACCGACTGCAAGTTCCACTCCACTATCTGCCGGGCGTGCGGGAAACAAGGACATATTGCAGCTGTGTGTCTGGGCCGACGAAAGGTACAATCTCAGGAAGAACTGCGCCTGAAAGGTACCAGGGTCCCTAGCCAGAATAGGGTAGGTTTTTGCGCTTCGCGAAGGAGCATCTTCAGGACAGGCACACACAAGCCCATTAAGAAAAAGCTGTCACTCAAAGTGAAGCTACAAGGGGTTCCATTAACTATGGAACTAGACACGGGGTCTGCCCTTTCAATCATATCCTTGCATACATTTAGGAAGATTTGTTCCGGCAGTGGAACTCAGGCCAAATTAAGGCCTTCTGACATTGTGTTAACAGACTTTCAAAACTCGAGAGTGTGTGTTAAGGGGGAGGCCACCCTTAACGTACAGTATAAGAATTTTGAAGGTCCACTAGACCTATTAGTAGTAGGGGGTGAACGAACGAGTCTCATAGGACTCGATTGGTTTGAAGCCTTGGGGATACACGTCACGGGGCTCAACAGCTTACAAACACTCGACCTACAGGAAGTCTGCAAAGAATTTGCAGATGTCTTCAGCCCCCAGTGGGCACATTCAAGGGACCCCCTGTGTCCTTGAAACTAGACCCCACTGTCACTCCCATTAGAATTAAAGCAAGAAGGGTCCCTTTTGCTTTAAAGAGCAAAATTGACACTGAGTTGGACAAACTGATCCAACAGGGAATTCTAGAACCTGTTGATTCCAGTCCTTGGGAGACCCCCATTGTCACGCCTCTAAAGGCAAATGGGGACATTCGCATTTGTGCTGATTACAAATGCACTCTTAATAAGGCATTGCAGCAACATGCCTATCCTGTTCCTGTGGTCAGTCATATTCTGGCCTCCCTCAAGGGGGGGCGCGTTTTTGCAAAGCTTGACCTAGCTCAAGCGTATCAACAGCTGCCTGTTGATGATGCTGCTGCTATAGCTCAGACTATTGTGACCCACAGAGGGAGCCTTTAAGGTAAAAAGGCTACAGTTCGGAGTGAATGTCGCTCCTGGGATTTTCCAAAGCGTAATGGAAAACACACTACAGGGCATACCGGGGGTTTGCCCCTACTTTGATGATGTCTTAATTGCAGGAGACTCCACACACATTCTAGCTGAAAGGCTAAGGGCTGTTCTGTTAAGATTCAGGAAAACAGGCCTCAAGCTCAAAAAAGACAAATGCAAAATTGGGGTGCCTTCTACTGAATTTCTGGGGTTCAAAATCGATGCTGCTGGGATTCACCCTGCTGAATCCAAGCTAACTGCCATTTTAGAAGCACCTAGGCCAAAGTCAAAGGCCGAACTTCAGGCCTTTCTGGGCCACCTGAATTTCTACAATTCCTTTCTTCCACATAAAGCTAGTGTAGCTGAGCCTCTTTATAGGCTACTAGATAAACAAGCAGTGTGGCAGTGGTCACAAACACATGAGGCTAGTTTCAATGAGGTCAAGGCCTTACTCACTTCTAACCGTGTACTTGCACATTTCAATGAGTCCCTTCCTGTGTGCATCGCTTGTGATGCTTCCCCTTACGGGGTCGGAGCTGTCCTGAGCCACCTCAGGGCTGATGGAACTCAGGTTCCTGTTGCATATTACTCCAGAACACTGTCTTCTGCTGAGCGCAACTACGCTCAGATAGACAGGGAGGCTCTGGCTGTTGTTGCTGGAATTAAAAAATTCCATGATTTCTTGTATGGCAGGCATTTCACGGTCTTCACTGACCATAAGCCTCTGCTGGGACTGTTTACCACACGTAAACAAACTCCCCAAATCATTTCCCCTAGAATGCTTAGGTGGTCTATTTTTCTGTCTGCATATGATTTTTCCTTACTCCACAAGCCTGGGAAAGAAATGGGCCATGCTGATGGCCTCAGTAGATTGCCCCTGCCAGTAGTAGAAGCTGACCCTGCGCCAGCTGTCAACATTCTATCCATCCAAGCCTTGCCCGAGTCCCCTCTGAATGCCAGGGATGTCGCCGCTGAAACAGGCACAGATCACACACTTTCACGTGTCCTTTCTTGGGTTTTGTCTGGATGGCCTGAGCACTGCCCTAGTCCTGAGTTTCAGAGTTTCTGGTCCAAAAGGAACGAGTTGTCCACTTCTCAGGGTTGTCTGCTTTGGGGAAACAGAGTTGTCATTCCCACCTCAATGAGGACTAGGATCTTAGAGTCCCTCCACGAGGGTCATCCTGGCATTGTTCGCATGAAGGCCCTTGCGCGCAGCCACTTGTGGTGGCCTGGTTTAGATAAGGACATTGAGGCTAAGGTGCATGCATGCCACCTGTGCCAGCGCTCTCGCCCAGAGATGCCCCAAGCTCCTGTGCATAGATGGGAGGATACACAGTCCCCATGGTCTAGGGTGCACATTGACTACGCTGGGCCCTTTCAGGGCCAGTTCTTCTTGGTCCTCGTTGACAGTCATTCAAAATGGCTTGAGGTTGTAGCTGTCTCATCCACTACCACTGCAAAGACTATTCAGGTACTGAGGGGGATTTTTGCTGCACACGGGCTCCCAGATGTCATTGTGTCTGACAACGGCCCTCAATTTACTTCCTCCAAATTCCAAGCTTTCTTACAGGCTAACATGATTCGTCATGCCACGTCTGCACCCTTCCACCCGTCCACCAACGGTATGGCTGAACGCATGGTCCGCATCACAAAGGACGCCTTGAAAAGACTCACCTATGGGGACTGGAATCACAGGTTGGCTGACTTTCTCCTTTCTTACCGCACCATACCGTCCACTTCTACAGGGAGAAGCCCAGCTGAACTTCGCTGGGGGCGCAAACTTACTACGAAACTTGACCGGTTGCATCCGGACAGACTGCCTTCATCTACCTCACATCCTAGGGCACCTAGACAACTACTTGTGGGTGCCCCGGTTTGGACTCGCAATTACGGGCCTGGTCATACATGGGTCCCCGCTTCTATTTCCAGGGTCACAGGTCCTCTATCCTACGAGGTAGCCCTGGACAACGGTCGTGTCCTGCGCCGGCACATTGACCAACTCCGCCCTAGGCGGGATCTTCCAGCTGAGACTCCTGGGTCTTTTCCAGGGGGGAGGGGGACCCTTTGGAGCAAAGGGAAGGGCATGAGCTGCTGCCCACCTCCAATGATGGAGCCACAAACGGCCCATTCCAAGATTCCGCGAGTGCCCCAAACAGGAATTTATGGGGCTTACCCAATCATCAGGCATTCACACCTACTCCAGCCAGGGAGTCACCCCGGGGGCACAATCACTATCCATCTACACCACACAACACTCCAGT